ATGAAAGTATTGACTGTCTTGTAAATGAAGCGTGCTTGAAGCCGAAGTTACCATGCTTAAAGTAAGTTAAAGACGTGTAATTTAATTTATATATGGGTGACCTTATTTAGGCCACATATGGCCTAAATAAGCTAAACCCCCCTCCCTTACCTTATTTGGGCCACAGGTGGCCTAAATAAGCTAAACCCCCCTCCTTTACCTTATTTAGGCCACACCTGTGGCCTAAATAAGCTAAACCCCCCTCCCTTACCTTATGTAGGCCACACCTGTGGCCTAAATAAGCTAAACCCCCCTCCCTTACCTTATTTAGGCCACATATGTAGTCAAAATAACCAAACCAATGTAAAGCATTGTTTTCTTTGCAAGTTACGTTATTATCTCTTTAAAACTCTTCACATCCATTTTCCTTCACAGCCGTATCGTACATGACAAGTGATGTAGAATCAATTTAAGGTCCTTGGAAAGGTGACCAGAAAATAACAAAATTATTTTATGATCTTCACTTGCACTTGCAATTTTTTGGACAAATTAAAGTCTACCTAATTATATTTTTTCCCCTCATTTTTCTTCACTATAAATGACAACTGGCATGTATTGTTTTCAGTTATTATCAAGAAAGTGGATAGGCGGACTACGGGGTCTATCTAGCCAAAAGGATAGGTGGACCCCGGGGTCTACCTAACAAAATGTTAGGTTTTAGGATGTGAACCCCGGAGTCAGCGTAGTGAAATAAGTAGATCTAGGTTTAACTAAGGATCGGTGGACCCCGGGGTCAACATAATGAAATAAGTAGATCTAAGTTTATTTTATAATAGGACTGGCGGAGCCCGTAGTCAAAGTAGTGAAATTATAAGTAGATATAGGTTTAATTAAGGATTGGAGGACCACGGGGTCAATGTAGTGAAATCAGTAGATCTAGGTTTAATTAAGGATTGGTGGACCCTGGGGTCAATGTAGTGAAATAAGTACATGTAGATAGATCTAGATTTAATTTTAAGGATTGGTGGACCCTGGAGTCAACGTAGTGAAATAGGTAGGTTTAAGGTGAACCCCAGGGTCTACCTAACGAAACACTAGTTAGGTTTTAGAATAGGTGGATCCTGCGGTCACCGTAGTAAAATAAGTAGGTTTAATCAAGGTGTCCCGGGGGTCCACCAATCCTTAATTAAACCTTCTTAATCCTCTATGGCCTTGGTGACTCCGGGTTCCACCAATCTTTAAAGAAACCTACTTATTTCACTGCGGTGACCCCAGGGTCCACCTGTCCTAAAACCTAGTACCAATCCTTACTTAAACCAAACCTTATTTCACTACGGTGACTCTGGGGTCCACATCCTAAAACCTAGTATTTCGCTATGCAGACCCCGGAGTCCACCTATCCTCTACAGGACTATACTATTATTATCAATTTGCAATTTTCATTGATTAGCATTTTTGTATAAATATAATATTGAATCAGAGTGCAGGGGAGACCGAGGCGCCCGGTCGATTCGGTGGTCGGCTTTTGTAGATCTATGCATTTTTTACGGAAAGCCGTATTACCTAACCCTATTACTAGATCTATTAGTGTTGTGAAAACTTCAACCTCTACAGCTCAGGCGTCAAAAGATGCTGGTAAATAATAATAGATCTACGTCCTGAAGTTTCATAATTTATTTTTATACAGAATAACACAGTACACAGTCAGTAGTTTTTATTTCATCGAGTTATAAAAATGGCCTTCGTATAAAAATTGCCTTGTTTTCAGAAGCAAGTTTTAATAGTTCTAGTTCTACCTAATCGATTTTCATGCGAATTCAACTATTTTGATGATCTTTCTTTTCCTTTTAAAAAGATGTAGATCTAGGCCTGTCGGATGTGGCAGTGCGAATAGCACTGAGTTGTTTAGATCTAGATCTAGATCTAGACCCATCAAAACACGAGGCTTCGTGGCCGATCACAAAAGTCTACGGGGCTTATCGAGGCCGATTCGCCCTGCCGCGAGCACGTTCACTAAACTGCCTACTAGATAGAATCTACTACCAAATATTCTCTACACGATCTTTGCTACTACTACTACTAGGCCTACTAGCCTACATGTACTACTACGAGACAGTACGAGAGAGTGTCACTCAGGCAAAGATAGTGTAACTTTGACTCAGCCACATAGTATACACACTTTTTATACCCCAAATTTAACCCGAAAGTCCATTCGGAGGATTTGACCTTTTCACTTGACCAAGTGTGCCAAAATGGTAGCCTAGCTTTTGCCCCTCCATGAAGGAAAAATCCGGCCCTCATTCAAACCATTGGAATTGAGCAAAATTTTGCGTTTTGTGCTTTGTTCTTTACAATATTCATTATGGTTATGATTTATAAGTTGTACACTGAGGCTAAACCATACTAAATGAGAAAGGGGCACCATTATGAAAGTGGAATGAACTCAGTTGCCTGAAAAGGGTAGTCTGAACATGTGTGGCCTAAATAAGCTAAACCCCCCTCCCTTACCTTATTTAGGCCACAGTCCACTGTGGCCTAAATAAGCTAAACCCCCCTCCCTTACCTTATTTAGGCCATATGTGGCCTAAATAAGCACTCCCTTTATATATAGGCCTACCTACATGTAGCAAAAATTCGGTAAGAGCCGGTTGGTGAGCTTGAGTCCGAAACGTGCTTTATGCCGGCGTGCTTAAAGCCGGCACGGACTGTACTGTACTTGTACATGTACTTTGTAGGCACGAGGTTGAAATCTTGCACGACTGTTCAAGTGTGAGATCATGAGCTTTTTCAATTTCAAAGTTAGCTCAGCCGAGATTTTTTTTTTTAATCCGGAGCAAGCCACGAGAGTTAATCCCAGTTACATGTAGCCTACATTGTGGTTGAATAAGCTCCTTTATTAGGCCTAAATTAATATTTTTTAGAGCTCGGCCAGTGCGTTGTGGCTGTAGCATCGAATCTGTCACTGACAAAATCTTATTCGAAACAGCTTTTTGTTGTCAGTCAACATCGTCTGTAGTAAGTTAGTGTTAGTCCAGTAAGTGTAACTGCATGACAATGAGTTAGATCTAAGCCAGGCGGCATAGAACTATACTTCAAGTTCAAGTCATGACTTCATGTATACATTCTTTCTTAAGACCTCGTGAAAACTACCAAACCGGGAAGTTCTTCATCAGTGCACCGATAGCCCAACTTACATAAAGTATAAAGTTTTCGGGTAAACAAGTGACGTCACAATTGCGTGTATCAGAATAGCTAGGGCTGATCAAACTGATTTCCCCAGAATATAATGGTCTATGACCTCTAGGCCTACGATGAACGCGTTGATTCAATCAAAGATTCTCTGCGTACCACACGGTCTTTTGTTCAACTGCTGCAATGTCCTATTTACGCAGAGTGTTTTGCAGCTTTGCTGGCGCCTTCGGACCCACGCAGCCACCCAACCGTGGCCTTGTCAAATGTACGTGATCAACATGACGTGAACAAATTCCTGAGGAAATGAGCAGCAAGTGGAGAAACGTAGTGAACATGTAATAATAATAATGAAATAATAATAATGGATTGCATTTATATAGCGCATATCCACTTATGCAATGCTCTATGCGCTTAACATGATACATGTTATGGATTTACAAATCAATTTTAAAGGTACATAGTGTTACATACTCGTGCAAACACATATTCACTCACGCACGCACCACACACACACATACATACACACATACACACATACGTACATAATATGCACATACGCACATACAAACTCACAACGGTCTACAGCTTGGATGGATTCTGTCTAATCGAAATATGATGAAAATGTACAGTGTGTTCACAGGAAGCTGAGAATGTTGATAATAATAATATAATGATGATGATGATATAATAATAACCATCATTTTTTATAGCAGTATTAGCAGCGCCTACTCCCGTAGGCTACACACAATGCTCTGCGCATGGGCACTTCAAATTTCACCTGGCTATATACATGTAACACTGTTCAATTTGGGCAGGCTCGGATAACAGTAATAACAGTATTGACAGTGATCTTGCAGCGCCAGAACTTGCTTTCGATCCGTCAAATTATTAAAATGTGTCTCAACCAAGATGTTTCGCCTGTTTGTATGATCGCTTGCCTAAACACAAACTTTCAAACAGATAATGTTGGGGTCACTGATCGATTCCATCTCTCCGAGTCAGCAAAACAGCTCTCTGAAAAGGATCTGCGGTAATCGGATGTACATTGTAATTATATATATATATATATATGATACACACGCACACACACACATATATATAATATATATGTATATATGAAAGATGGTATGGATTTAACGCCCCTATCAACACTATTAGGTTATTTAAGTGGGGCGGATATATGTGTGTGTGTATATAATATATAAT